GGGGAATCAATAAAATGTACTAGTACTGCATTTCAGCGTACCTAATGCATTATTTTCTAAAACTGCGTTATAATTACAGACACATTTAAGCAGCAATGTTGTGTTAATCACAACATATCTTTAGTACCTATAAATTTGTCTGGTACCTTACCCAGGGAAATTATTAAGAATGTGCCGTACGAAAAAGGATGCTTGCTGTTGGATCATAATAAGATGTTGTAAATTGTTATATCCTAAAAGACGTTGTAAATGATCCAACAGCAAGCATCCTTTACGGCACATTCTTAATAATTTTCCTGGGTAAGGTACCAGACAAATTTTTAGATTGGCTACAAACGAGTTTGACACCCTGTATATTACATAAACATATACATATTTTAGTTTGAATAAAATATTTCATATTTAACATTCTGTATTTATTTCATTCTTTTTAAATTTAATTCGTTCTTTTCTTATGATGTAAGAATGTATAATAGCAAGACTGCCTGAACACACACACCACTATTTTACGACTTTTAGCAGATTGATAATTTGCTAAAAATCGTAGACTAGTGATATACATATGTATGGCCGGTATTCATAGTCGATTCTTATTTGAGTATCATCTTAAGTGTTGTCTTAAGACGCTAATACGGCTCTGTGATTGGTTGAAAACACATTAAGAGTATACTTAAGATGATCTTAAATATAAGAACGGACTATGAATACCGGCCTATGACACCTTCTTTTCTCACCATTTACCATCGGAATCTCACTTGATGTTTCCATTTTCTGCCGTTTAGGATCTGAGGGCGCGTTTCATGTCCATTAAATCGAAAAAAAGCCAACTAGCAGTCCATCATGATTATATAGTCAAAGGTACGTACACGTGCGCGGCACACGGGGCTATGCGCTCATTTAAAAATGGCGCTCTTTAGCCGTGCCAGTTTGAATGCCTTTTCGTGGTTAAATCGTTGTTATTGCAAAAAGTTCATGTTAGGCACGAGTAGATTAAGGTCACGCAGTCACGTCTCGGTGTTGTCAACCAACGTACAACACAGGGACAATAAGCAAAGTGAGTAACTTGACAATTTTACAATATAACCTATAAGCTTACAGATAATGTTACATGCTTCTTCTCAGAGAAGTTTATTAGTAGAAACGTAATTCTTTTGGATGCAGCGTGGATTAAGATCTTTCGAGTCTTCGTCTCCGCGCGGTTATTTATACCTTTTCTGGGGCACAGTTTACATTGCCATCTCGCAATGTTGCAGGTGGAGAAACGACGCTCGAGACAGAAATCACCAGGAGAAGAAGTCAGGCATGTCGAAGCTTATTGATACAAGTACACTCGTCGAAATCGCACAACGATCTTTACAACTATTGCTCGCAGTTTGGACGCATCTTGAGTATGCATCACTACCAAATAAATAATCGGCATGTATGTCAGCTATTATTCAACGTTGATGCAAAATTATACGCGTCGTTTACACGTAAATACCGCTGTGACAGTATCGTATTGTGACCGATTTTAGAACTATATCTTAATCGAGTTTCAAGATGTAAGGGCGATAAATGAAGCTATGTCGTTTGCTTCCTTTGCAAACGAGGACCTCGCTGCTCCCGTGAAATCGTCGGTATTGTGGTTCCGTAAAGGACAAGGTGTCGCTCAACAGAGAAATAACCAGAAGAGGGTATCCCTGTCTGTAGACCATGGTTGTTCGTTGCCCAGCGACCGGGAGATCGCAAAGCTGTTATGTAACGCGAAATCGGTAGACTTTTCTATAATACATGTCGAGCTCGTGTGAAATTTGAGAGACATTTAGCCTTGTGAAACGTACAACTTTGTTCCGCAGACATCGGCGCAGATGATAGTCCTCTATGAGGCACTGAAACTGACGGACCTGGAAGTAAGACTGAGATTTCACACCGCTCACCACTTGGAGCAATACTTCTCTAGGCTGTTTCAGAACATGAAAGTTCTGCCGTTCGGCTCCTCCATAAATGGTTTCGGGAGGAAAAGGTGTGACCTTGATTTAGTTCTTGTTCCCGATAACAGTGAAGAAGTAAATATACAAGTAATATTTTACCTAATCAAACGCCCACGTACTCGACGCCAAATACCAGTGAATTGTTAACGTTTTGTAGCGCAAAGCGGCGAGTAGATTGGTATTTCACTCCAAGTCTATGGAGTATAAAGATAGGAACGAGACGAAGCAGTTTTTGGCGATACTCGCCAACACCATGCAGTACTTCATCCCCGGAGTTCTCAATGTAAGGAAGATTCTGGAGGCTCGAGTGCCTATAATTAAATTCCACTACGACTACACGCACACTGAATGTGACTTAAGTGCGACAAACATGTAAGTTGTGAGGTATTTCAATTCTAAGCAATTAATAAAATTCACAAGGCTCTAATGTAAGAAACACACATACGAAGTAATAAGGGAGCCAAGACGGGATGTTAGTGTCTAAATAATTTTTATGTTTAAGTCTATCGCGAAAAATAATATCCAAGTCAGGGTTTGAACCTGGGCCCTTACGGAAAAAAATACTCAAGTTTCGAGTGTCGACACCAGTTTAAACCCTGACTTCTTTTTCGCAATAGACTTGAACATAAAAATTATTTAGACACTAACATCCCGTCTCGGCTCTTACTCCCTTGTCACTCCGTACTTGTGATTTCAATTCTATATCTGGCGCAGGGATTTCTTCGTATTTTGAAGGCACGACGGGACGCTAATACACCGAATTGCTCTCTTCCAGGACCGCCATATATATGACCGAATTATTAAATTTGTACGGCGAGATAGATTGGCGGGTGAGGCCGCTCGTTATAGCAATACGGGTATGGGCCAAGTGTCAGAATATAACGTCCGACGCACCAGGGCAATGGATAACGAACTTCCCTCTTACGTTGCTGGTGCTGTTCTACTTGCAACAGAAAAAGATATTGCCGTCCTTGAAAACGTTAAAGATGCATGCCAGTAAGTAACACGTGTCGTAAAGAAAAGGGTTGTATAACGTTCAATTAGTAAACCGCATTCCTCTTCTCTCTCTCTCTCTCTCGTACAGCGCGCACCGACATTCGTTGCACGAACAACGGCATCGATTGCACCTTCCTGCGGGATATTAACAAATTGCCAATCGATTACAAGTACAAGCCGAATCAGGACAGTCTGGAGACGCTTCTGCACGGTTTCTTCGAGTATTACTCGACGTTCGACTTTCAGACGAAAGGGATATGCATCCGCGAGGGTGTGGAGATACGAAAACCGTCGCGCTCGCCGCTCCACATCACCAATCCCTTGGAAACGACGTTGAACGTCTGCAAAAATGTGACCCCCCACGAGGTGAATCATATAATTACCAAATCGCACGACGCGATCTACACACTGGAGACTGCCGACAAATCCAATAGCATCAACTGGGGTATCATGGCCTTGTTGAAAATACATAATGATACGATAAACCTGAACAAATTGAACGGCATGGAAGAAAAAGCCATGAAAGAATACTCGGAGAATCATTCCTACGGAGTTTCTGACAAGCTCGAAGTTAACGAGGACAATATCGACGAAGCAAAAACGCAGAAGACGGAAACAGTATGATACCCGAGCGAGTAGCAAATATATGTACACTTTCATCTCTGCAGAAATACATACGCCGTGTATATTTCTGCGCGAAACCCTTTCCGTTTCATATCAATGATTTGGTATAAAATGACAGTGTAGAATGAAACGGAGTTTTTCTATAGCGGAGGTGCCAGAAAGCTCAGAGATGTTTTACTTGAAGAAGAAGAGAAACAAACGACAGAGAGAAACTTTTATTGCGGTCGATCGTGTACTGTACTATAATATGTGAAAACAGAAGGGAAATGTACATAAAATCGACGACTTAAATCAATTAATATTAGCCTTAAATAAATACGTGTAAAGTATCGATCGGAGTTATCAGATTAATTAACTGGAAATTGTAATACCGTACCGTTGTATTCGTTCAGAAAAATTGTCAACGTCGGAGGCCAAAAAGCGTTCTCTCCTACTTCGTCCGTTGAGGTTCTCTAATCTGTAAAATTCAACAAGTGGGAACATGCATGTATCTATATATTTTTTTTATATACAAGTACATACAACCGTGAGCACTTGTTGCGAAAGCGAAGTGAGCGGCGAGGATCGCTTTCGGTCCACGGAAGATATGACATAGAAATCACGGGTATATTTATTAACTTGTATATATTTTTACTATACCAGCAATTCGACAGTTCTCATACATGCTTACGTGTGTACACTCGCTATAATTAGAACGTTCATTGTAACCCTGCTGAAGATTACAAGTCTTCGCTCGTAGTTAAATTCGAAACAACGATTAACGATCGCATTGACTTTCACAAGGAGGAACCGATTCCTCGTAATACCGATTTATCCTTTGGAGTAATCGTAAACATTATCGTTACATTACGGTCAATAATTACAGTGCGTAATCGTGACCAAGCCCCGCGGGCGCGATCGTAGGGCGATCACCGGGCCTTTTTTTTTTTATTGATGCGACTGAACGATTACGAGTGAACGCCCGCGAATTAGGCTGCTCTTCGTGAATCGAGCATCGCCGATTAAATTCGTAATATATCGCGACTGGCAGTGTTGTTTACTAGCTAAAGTATTACCGTTTTACTCGACCGATCGAATTGCGCGACGTACTTTACTGGACTATGCATTCGACCCGTTGACGTTCGAGGGAGGAAGAATCTCGTGCGGTCCGTGTGTCACGGATACGAGCGGGAACGAATCCGCGTGTTCCAACGGAGAAAACGCGGGGGGGGGAGGGGGGGGGACACGCGAGCGACAGGACTCTTGCGATAACGAAACCGTGATAATGTGCGCTCGGAACGGAACGGACTCGTTTGTCTGTGTACAGTTTTCAGATTGTAACGTCAACCGCGGTTCTTTTGCAATTATTGTACATTGCACACGCGCGTCGTTTTGTCAGGAAAAAAAAAGACTTCCCCGCTATCTATCCCTAATCAAGGCCCTACACGCGTCAACCGCCCCAGGCAGGTCGTGTCAACAATACGGAGCGGCGAATACGACGCACGATCGTACACTCTTTCTCTTCCGTCCTCTCTAACGTCTGGATTTACCGTGTGGCAGCGACGCCGATCTTCGGCGCTTTCGTCATATTCGAATGCAATTAAATCGCTATACAAAAGGGTACCTTGCGAGAGTCGCACGTCGTCGTACGTGGTGCGACCTCTCGACGAGGGACACAATACAAATGTCGAAAACGTCGGAACGATACAAAACACCACGCGTTTGACCGGGGACACACGTGCTCAAAGGAATCTCTCGAAAAGCAATATAAAGACGAGAAGTGCATTCTCGATAATAAAGATCTCCGTGCTCCACCACATCGCGCAGAATATAGACCCTTTTTTCTCAGTACCGTTATTATAATTTATATATCCATTATTATTATTATACTAATAGAATGTCCAAAATCTTCGAAAAACCGATAATGCCGGCTCTCACAACAATACGCCTCCGTTGCTAATAAATAACGTGTATACTTAAGCCACTTGGGGCACGGCGCGTTTAGTCTTTTGATCATTTTTCTTTCTTTCTTTTTTTTTTTGCTATTTATACGCAATATAGGCTCGCGGATCTCTACCCCTCGGACAATATCTCCTCAGAGCTGGCGAAAGGACCGAGAAAAAGCGCCTCAATTCGTTTTGCTCTTACGATGATTGCGATGATAATGTAAGTGATGCTGCCGCAGCTGAGAGCGCGTCTCGTGTACGGCCGCCACCAAGGTGCGCACCGCCTTCTCGTGACCCTCAAAGCTGTCCGCTTTCTTGAGCTGGCCGAGGGACGACATCCCCGCGCCCGCGTCCTCGCCGCCGGCGCCGCGCTTGCTCTTGGGCCGCGGGAAGGTCTCCCAGGAACGCTGCTTCTGCACGAGAGACGACGGCGTCCGTGATCCGATCAAAACGACCAGGGTTTTCCGGGGGTCCTGCGCGACGGACTGTTGACCTACCGTCCCATCGGCGATGCTCGACCGCCTGCTGTTGCCGGAGCCGGTCGTGCTGAGGCTGTCGCAGCTGGCGCGCCGCCGCCTCCTCGCGTCGCTCGCCGCCTTCCCGTCGCCATAGAACAGCTCCTCCGAGTCGCTGGCCGGGTAGATCTTGGCGACCTTGCTGCCTGGCATCGCTCGTATCTGATCGTCGGCCGGGACCGCGTGCACTTGCGCCTGCACGCGCTTCTTCGCTTCGCCGATGCACGAGGCCTCCGAGATACGCTGATACTCGCCCTCGTCGCCTGCTGGAAGCACGGGACTCTTTTTAGAAGACGGTCTCATCCTCTTCGTACGCAGCGGGTGCACGAAGGTTCGCTGCGCGACGACGACGAGACACTTAACTTCGTAAGGGTGAAATGTGCGATAGAGTGTGTTACATGTGGGTCAATGTTACAGCTTTCTTTAATGTATATAACATATTTACACATATCGTATATATAAGCGTGTGAGCGGCGAACGGCGAGGAACTTTACGTATTCGGCTGTCGGACGTTTATCGCCTCTAAGTCTAAACCCGAAATTTCGTCCCCCCGGTGGACTACAAAGGGAGACCTGCGTGTCATAATGTATCAGTACTCGTTTGCGTACGACGCTCCTGCGAGACTCCCGTTCTTACCGATATGAGACTGCGGCTGCTGCGAGTCGGTGCATCTTTCCGCCTGATCGAGCGCCTCGGCGGACGTGTCGCCGGTGCCGCCTGTCAGGGAACGATACAACGACCGCATCTTGCTGCCGGACGCGTGCCCGGGTGGTGTCTTGGGCTTCGCGCTGTCCGGCGACTTGCGCGAACGCCGGCTCTGGCTGCGATCGCGGCTGTCCTCTCGGCCTGGCGATTTCTTGCGATCGTCCTTCGGCGTGCGGGCCTTCTCGATCAACTGACTCAGCACGCCGCGCTTCGGGTCGGTCGACTTGGCCGTCCCGTAAACGACTATGTTGCCGCTCGAGTCCAGAACGGCGCCGACGCCGCCGGACGGCGTGCGACATCGCGTCGGAATCTCCTTCGACTCTGAACGATTCAAGCAAATGCATATAAATGTCCGATGCCTACGTTGCTCTCTTATCTAAGGAACATCCGTTCTCTCTCTCACCCTTCATGTACAGCGCGTTGTCGGCGCTCGTGGCGGTACCACGTGGATGACGGTGATCCTTCGTCGGCGCTTGAGCTTGCGGATGCGGCGGCGGCTCCTGCATCTGCAGGCGCGCCAGATGGTCCAGCAGCGCTTGCAGATGTTGACTATCGGCCGCATCCGCCGCGGCCACGCTCACCTCTCCGGCGCCGATGCCTATCGAGAACGACTTGACGAAGGGCTCCAGGTGCTGGGCGAGCACTTGCAGCTTCTTCACTTCGCTCCTCAGCGACAGTATGTCGTTCATCTGGACAGAAATACCACACGATCAAGTGGCAGAGCGATGCCAAGGGAACCGCGAGTCTAACTCGCCTGGGCGGACATACCTGAGAATGGAAGATTTCCTTTTCTATGTGAATCCTGCACATCTGCTCCTCCCACAGCGCGTCGAAGACATTTCTCAGGCGTTCAAGTTCCATCTGATGGTGCTCCAATTGCTGCTCGAGCAAGCGGCAGTCCCTCGCCACGTGGTCGTAACGCGAACCCAACGGCGGGGTGTTTGCTCTCTTCAAGACGGAAACGTCCCTCTGCAGCTCGCCCAATCGTTCCTTCACCGTCATCAACTGCTGGCTCAGCTCCTTCAGTTGGGTGTCGAAGGTCCGGCAATGATTGGAGAACGGGCCGCCGTCGGGTCCGCCCTTCGGCGGCAGCCTCTGAGTGGTCTTGCTGCTCTGTTGGGAAAAAAAAGTATTCCTGACGTAAGACGGGTACGCCCATACAGCACAGGTGGTTGCAGTTACATTGCAGAAACGTTGCAATCTTGCAGAGACATTGCAGGGATATAAAATTGCAAACTTTCGATAGCAATGTTGCAGCGATGTTTGAAAAACAATAAAAATACTGTATTTTCTATTTAAAAAGTTTTTCTAATTACGAGAATTTATAATGTTATTTTCGTTGATACCAATAATGCGCGAATTATTAAGTACTTGGTCAGTGCGGTGTTGCTCGCAATCTCCACCTATTGCGAAGCGACATAATCTCCTTATGTTGCTTCGCAATAGCTTGCTGTGTATTGAAAAAGGCCCGGATGGATATGTAAGTAGTAAATTCTCTGCTTATGTACAACAACGACAAATTATTCCAAAAATATTGCACCGCAACATTGCTATAACGTTGCACTGCAATCTCTCTGAGGACGGACATTTCAACGTTGCTGCAATGTTGCAATCTTGCAATGTAACATTTCTGCAACCTTTCTGTGCTGTACGTGGGCGGTACATACCAGCGATCTTACAGTCACATGCTGTGTTAACTCTCGATTATCGATTACGACTCCGTTCAATGACGACGTGAACGAAACTCGAGCCTGCTGAACAAGTTATTGGTACACTCTACTTAAAGAAATACAAGTCGCGCATCGAACGTAAACTCCTGCGAGCAAAAGGTAGACGCGCGGAAATACACGGCTCGGGTGACGAGGAAACTCGCGATAAGAAAGCGGATCGTTAATCGCGCGATCGCTCGCTCCGTCCGCTCTGCTCTTTACCTGAAGCACCTGCGGTTCCGGCTGACCTATCGTATAGCCGCCGGCCATCTGATCGTACAGGGACTCGGCGGTGGCCTTCGGGGTCTGCGCTTGACCTATGTAGGGATGCAGGGCGCGCGCGAAGTCAGCCCGATAATTCGTCTTGATGTGCGCGGCGAGCAGGGGCGGCCGCGACGGATGGCCCAGCTGGGCGACGCGGCTCAGCCGGTCCAGCATCGGGTGCGCCAGCTCGAGGAACTGATACTTGGTCGCGCCGGTGGTGAAGGCGGTGCACAGCATCAGGTGCATCTGCAGCACGGGTAGCGCGCTACCCAGCGCGAGCAGCTGCGAGCGCACCATGCGCTCCTTGGTGTCGAACTGACGCTGCAGCTCCGCGAGGACGTACGCGTGCGTCTTGGTGATCGCCTCCTGCATACCCTGGCAGAAGGCGGTCAGCGCGCGCTTCTCGGACTCGAGGCTGTGCCGCAGCTCGTCCAGCTGCGACTTGAGCGCCAGCACGCCGTCCTTGATGCCGGCCTGGAGCTCGCAGATCGAGTTCACCGCCCGCTCCATCTTCTTCGAGGCCTGCTGCCAGGCGCTCTCGATGTCCACGCAGTGCACCCGCGCGTCCGGGGGCGTGTCGCGGAAACACGTAGCGCACAGCATGCACTTGGCGCTCTGGCTGTACATTATGTACTGCTCGCCGTGACTCGGACAACGACGCTGGGTATCTTTGGTGCACTTGCTCATGTGCACCACCTCGTGGGTGGAGAACATCTTCGCGCGGTGGGTGTGCTCTCTGCAGTGGGTGCAAAGCGCTTGTCCTGTAAACGCACGTCTTTGTGTATTCTACAGACAACCCTCGATACTGAATATACCATAGTTGAAAGGTATCATCGACGTACCGCAGGTCGTGCAGAAGAACATAGTGGTCTTGTCGCGCTTGTCGCAATTGGCGCACGGCGGATTTTCGGAGTTTGCCAGCTCCACCAGTTGGCGTATCAGCTGATCGGAAGGTGGTAGCTGCGCTCCATCCTTCAATTGTGTCTGTTGCCTGCGTATATTACGACGGGACGTTAACATAAGTATCACTCGTGATAGAAAGAAAACTGTATAGAGCCGCAGCATGAATAAAAATACAAAAGTAAAAGAGTATTACAAAGAGAACGCAAGGAGAAGAAATAATATTCAGGCAAAAGGCAGCAAGTGACAACGATACTGCGCTAAGTGGTCACATGTTCCTATGTACCCGCAGAGGGGACACTTGACCGTCCCGTCAATGTGCGGGCCGTGTATGCAACGGGCGCAGAAGGTGTGGAAGCAGGAGAGCAGGCAGGGCTCGTTGTAGTAATCGTGGCAGACGCCGCAGGTGAGGGGGTTCCTGGGCCCGCCGCCCGGCACGCCCGTCGTGCCGTCGTCGCCGACCCCGTCGACCGCCGAGCTCGCCATCGTCGCCGGCACTCGGCCACCCTGGGTCGCGCCGTCGGCCACGCGCGCGCGGACGACACGCGCCTTCCGCCTCGCTTCACGACACCGCTCCCTGTCCCATGCTCGCGTACCCCCCTGCAGAAGAGAACGGGAGCGATTTATCGGGATGCTGCGCGCGCGTGACTTACCGCGCGACGACATGGACAGCGGCGTCCAGCGGCGACGCCGTGACAGCCGACCGCGGCTTCCCGGAACGGTGTCTATTACCCCCTAGGACACCGTCGGCCCGCCCGCACGGTGAGAGAGTGAGAGAGAGAAAGAGAGAGAGAGAACACCCTGAGGAGGGTGCCTTAACGGCTGCTGCTCGCTCGCCCCGTCATTCTGACGTAGCGCGACGCGCTTTCGCGGTGACCAACCCCGTCTCTGCGCAACTGACGATCAGAGGCACTGACGTCACGGAGGCACCCACCGTCCCCGATCTCACCCTCGCCACCCCTGTGGATACGCGCACACAACGACGCCTGGAAACGGCGCGTGCACACGTTCACCCGCGGGCGCGTGTCTGTACGTGTGCAGAGATTTGCGCGGTCGACCCGGCTCGCTCTTACCCTCACCCTCTTGCTCCCATCCCCTTTCGCGACCAGCACCACCCGCGCCACGTACCCGCGTGTACGTGTACGCGCGGACGTACACGACGACGGGAACTCGGGTATTGGTGCAGAAGGGTGCAGGCGAACACCCGCCAAACAGGGTGGAGAGCAGCATCTAAAAGAGAAACGAATTAATCGCGCGACTCTTTTCCCCCGAGATTAAGTTTTTTTCTACCTACACTAAATTTTCCCGGCCGTCACGTACGTGCGCGCATAAATCCTCTCGGTCTCCTCCAGTACGATCCGTCCCCTTCGCTCATCGGAGGGATCTTCGAAATAACTGCTAGGATCTGGGGAAGACTGGTAGGATCTACGTCGCGAGTATCTGGGGCGAGAGATTTGATCTCGCTGCGAAGCTGCTTTAAGGCACACAATGTATTCCAAAGATGTTCCCCCATCTTCAATTTTTCCGCGATAGGTGGGGATTTCAGTACTGCAAAAAGAAAAAACAATATTGAACCGATGGAAACGGGAACTTTGTAATTTAATAGTTTACCTGAGGTAATATTTTTCGCAATAAGATTTCTTTACAGTGCGGAAAGAGGGGGGGGGGGGGTATTGTATTAAATGTATTCCAGAGACGTTCCCCATCTTTCAATTTTTCCGCGATAGGTGAGGATTTCAGTACTGCAAAAAAAACGCAATATTGAACTGATGGAAACGGGAACTTTGTAATTTAATAGTTTACCTGCGGCAATATTTTTCGCAATAAGATTTCTTTACAGTACGAGAACAGGGGGGTATTGTATTAAATGCTGAGTATAACATTTTTAATTATTTAATAATTATAAATCGTTTGTCGATTTAATTATAAATCGTTTATCGATTAACGAGCTATAATAGAAAAGAGAACGTTGCAATTTAATAATTTACCTGCGATAATATTTTTCGCAATGAGATTTTTTTCACAGTACGAGAAGAGGGGGATATTGTATTAAATGCTGAGTATAACATTTTTAATTATTTAATAATTATAAATCGTTTATCGATTTAAAACACGTGAATTTATTGACGACAATGGTTACGTTCAACAGAAAAAGCTGCTTTGCGACAGTTGTAAAATTCGTAAATTTGATTGGAGTATACTCTTAGATTCTGCCATAATTACGAGCATATAGGCATACGCCAATTAGATTCAGGATTTTTACAACAGTTGCAAAGCCGCTTTTTCTACCGAACGCCAATGATCCACAATAAACAAAACTGTGTTATATGTGTTATATGTCCGAGAGTAACGGCGCGCAGGACGGGTGGAAAACGGTATATGAATATTAAATTAAAGTTATTGGACTACCTACATCTTGCTTGAACCTAAAATTTGGCATTCTCGTCTCTTATTTAATAATAATTACCTCTATGTTGACAATTTTTAATAAAATCATCGTATAATAGAATCGTTTCTCTTAATTGTTCAAACGCTGTACAACATCTAATTGCTTTGTCGATTATCAATCACGCTTTATTAATCGGAATTGTAAGGAGACCGTAATGCAAACTTTTTGTCTACAAAAGCGTCACTTGAACGGGTCACTGGACACCACTTTCTCGTATTCTACCGTCCGATGCGTGTTTTTCACATTGACTCATGCACATCCGATTGTTGCCGCAGGTAGAGCTAATCCCTTCCGCCAATCCGAGCGCTTCTTCCCATCGAAATCTCAATTATCCACTTATCAATTACCCTTCCATTTGCCTCTCGATTCAAATTTACCCCACTTGAGTTCTGATTATTCGATTATCCAATTAAAGAGATCCGATATTCCACGGGCTATTCATATCATCACTCATCCTCGATATATTCCCTCGTGCCCGGAAAAAGTTCTAACTGCGTTAATTAATTAAGCACCGAATCAATGAGTGCAACAAAAAAATTTTTGCTAAAGCTAGAGCCGGGAAGAAACAGATGCATTCTTGCGAAAGAAGATAATTTACAAGATCTCGGTAGGAGAGAATGAGACAACTTCCGCGTCTTCTCGTTCTTTCCATTGGACATCTCTCCATTGTGGTCGTCTCAATGGAAATAATTTTTTTCTCCCGCGTTTCATTCCAATCCTCCAAGAATCCTGGACCTTGACGCTCCGCAATCTCTGCGTCGCGCGTTTTTCCATTCATCGGCCTGCGACGATCAAAATCACGGCGCGGCGCTTCTATTGTCGGTGACTTGCGGTTTAACCGGAAGCATCCCCTTCCCTCCTCTCTTTCTTCCTTTTGTCGCTGCAACTATTGTACGGGACGTTAATATTAAAAATCCATTAAAATCGCGTGCAAGGAGAAAATTGCCAATTCTGCTAAATTTCTTGACGAAAAGCGCGACTGAAAAGATCGATATCTCAGTTTTAAATTATAAGATCTTTAAAGAAGCTTAATTTCCCGAAATGAAGCTAAAACGGAGCTACCTGAAAATATTCGCCCGGTGTTCGTTGTTCATCCCTGTTTAACAATTATTAAGAATCATTAGTGAGAAATGATTTGTCGATTGAAGAGTCATTTCTCGCTCGGTATTTATTAACATTATATATCAGTAAGACAAAAGTTCTCACTTGATTATACATACATCATTGAATTATTATAAATTACATTATTTTAAACTTTTGACTTGTAGACAGCACATCAAACTTACTCGCACAAGTGCGAACAAATTTACTTTTTTGCTTTTATTATTGTTTTTCAAGTGTAAAAGCATTCGCTGAGTGTGTTCGCTGGTCCCATACATACAGCACCAAAGCTTTCAGATACATTTCGGAAACATTGCAACATTGCAAAATGTAATATTTCAGTAACCTTGTAGAACTATTATAAAGTTTGCAAAATATATTTGTAACGTATTATAATATTGTTTAGATTTTTCAAATTTACATTATTTCTCGTGTATTCCAAACGCAGCCTAATAGACTCGTGATTTCCGATATTGCTGCATGGTATCGGTAGGGTACTTCAGATTTTAATAGATGAAGTTTGAGAATATATAATATAATAGACATCCAAGAGCGATAAGAGAAAATGTTGCAATTTTTTCATACATATCTCTTGGGTGTCTTTATATTCGCAAATTTTATTTATTAGACTGATCAGAAATTCTTCAGGGTCGCCAGCAAAAATTAACAACATCAAATTTGGTTGACCATATCTAGCAATTTCAATAGTTTAGTATCGCGACGTTTCCCATGGTCGAAACGTCGCGATACTAAACCATTAAAATTGCCAGATATGGGCAACCAAATTTGATGTTGTTTATTTATATTAGGTTGTTCGGAAAGTTTGTTTCAAATTTCCTATCTATTATAAATACATATATAGGAAATTTAAAACGAACTTTCCAAACAATCTATTAAAATCATAAGATCCTGCATATTTATATAAATAATGTATAATGAAATCAATATTACAAATACATTGCACTGTGCCATTACTGCAATGTTACATCGTAATACGTCTGAGGGAGGACATTTCAATGTTGCTTCAAGCTAGCAACAACGTTGCTGAAACATTTCGCAAGCTCCATGCAATGTTACAATGTTGCAGTGAAAGGTGTATGCAATGTTTCTGCAATCTTTCGGTGCTGTATGAGTACAAATATATTTTGCAAACTTTATAATATTTCTACAAGATTGCTGAAACATTGTCAGCGAAATATTACAATTGAATGTTTCTGAATCGTCTCTGT